TTAAATGTGACCCAGTTCAAAATACATGACTCATCAAATCAATATGGCTTTGGAGTGTTCAGTCACAATTGGTCTCTAGAGATTTCTTTTGTGAGAGGAAACATTTTCAATGACACCTTTCAGATTCTGGGTCTTTCCTCTTCTCTGCCTTTTAATATAAACATATAAGCTAATAAAATGTTCAGTGAAGTAAACTCATAAAGGCTCTTGAATTCAAATATATAACCAGAAGTGAACTGAAAACATAAAAGAGCTTGCTATATGTATGTTTGCCACATATATATGTATGCATTCCTACATTCGTGGAAACTTAAGGGAGTTATCAGAATAATTTCTGTCAAACCAATGCAGTTTTTTAGAACACTGAAATATAGAGGAAATGAAATGTTAGGACTGAGCTTGGACTCTAGGGGAGCAGTTGGCATGCAATTCCGACCTGACCTGAGTAAAGCAGAGCTCATCCCAGCTTGAGTGACGGGAGTGGAATTGAGTGATCCTCCGAGGGGACAGGTAGGCAAGGCAGGCCTCAGGAGGACTCCGAGGCCGAAGCACCAAGCAGGCTGCTCTGGACGGTTGAGTTGGTGGGGTGAGCAAGATTGCTGAGCGAGATAAAGACCAACACTGTAATAGGAAAAATAAAGTCTCTCCCACATGGCTGTGCCTCTTGGGACAGAAAACTGAATCTCACTTAGCTTCATTCATAGAATGAGGGTTGCATTGGTACGTCAGCCTCAGCATGGCTATGACAACTTAATGGCATCACATGCGTGAAATGTGAAATGCCTGGGTCCATCAACGTACTGTCACTCCTGAGATAGGCCAGAGGGTGAGAAGTAGGACGTGATGGTTTTGAATTGAATAGGGGCAGGATAAATATCTTACTTGGCAGAGCTCATAGAGCCTTTTAGCAATATGACTCAGGTTGCTTTCCAACCTTATTTACCTGTACTTGTCTTCCTGATCGCCTGATGAAATGTTGACCATGAGCTTGGTGTGGTTCTCCCTCCTTTACATAAACTTCTAATTCTTTAAATGGTACTGTATTTATTATCTGTACCGTTTAAGATAAGAAACTTGAGGTTCAGAATGGTGGGACTGTTTGCCTAAGCCTTGGCCGAATGGCTTCCTAGTGACCCTCATATTTCAGTGGTGGTGTGCACGAAATTCTCCCCACTTCTGCACTGCCATATCATTTCAGATCTATTCACCTCTTATACTTATGGTCTCGCAGGCCTTGTGATCTTTAGGCATCTTCCTCTCGAGCAGAAGAACTCAATATCTTACCCATCTTTTATTCCCAGGGTGAAGCCCGCTCTTCAGCCAAATGCCTACCCCCACATAAATGCCCAACAGCTGTTTGTGGAATATCAGGTGAAGGAAAGAAATGTTAGAGGATTTAGGCAAACAATTGGGAAGACAAACAAGACTTAAATCTCTCTTCAGGGTGTTTCCCTACAACAACCCCCGTTAATCCAACACACGGTTCAACGGACTCCTTAATGGCTATCCAGTTACTTGTTCTGTGCCCAATTCCCTCTCAAGACTAAGCTGTCATAGGTCTGGCCTGTATTTTCTTGCTCATTGGCTAGGTACTGTCACTCCAGCACCTAGCACAACGCCTAGAACATAGTGAGTGTGCAGTAAATATTTGTCCAGTAGTGAATCCGTTGCAGCAGTGGGATTTCTACAATTAAAGTCCTTTTGCACCTAGGGAGATCTGGTCTTTTCTGGTCTACTCTGTCTTAAAGGGCCCCTGTCTCTAAAATTTTTGAAGAGTGAGACCTTCTGAGATTAAGCCATCTACCTCTAAAGTCTCTCCTAGCCACAAGCATCAGTGTTCTCCCCCAGTAGATCCTCTAAGTGATTGCCTTAGTTCTTTGCTTGTGTTCAGGAGACAGAGCAGCTTTCGGGCTAAGTAGGTCTCTCAGCTCCAAGAGTTCTCTAAGTGTGTTGGAGGGTCCTTGGATAGTTTTATTCTTATTTTACGCTTTTTAAATGCTTCACATTCTTAAACAAACAAGTACTCATTGTTAAATTTTCTCATTTTTCCTTCCTTTAATGAATGATACAAATATGGGCAATAGTTGTAGATTTCTAAGAGCAAGAAAGTGTATTTCCTAACTTTTCCTATCTTTCTTAGTTTTGTTACTAAGAATGAATTATTTTTCTTAAAAAGCTTTACGTATGACCTTTCAGTGATTGTGTAACCAGCTGGCAATGTCCTGTCACATGCTCCTGTAACACATCCCCTGGTCTGACCACAGCAGGGGAAGGGGTATCTAAAGGGAGATAGTTCAAGAGCTGTGAGCATAAACAGTCTGTTCAGTGTCTGTCTTTACGTGGGTATATTATTTAAAAACCATTTACTCAGTTTAATTTTGCTTAAAGTGTAAATCACCCTTTGACTTAACTTCTCAGTAGGGTCATTAACTTTATCTTCATGATATTTACACAGTCAAAATAATTATTCTGGAATGTTTGTCTCTCGTTTTTATTTTGACAACTGGAGGTGCCAGGTGAGTGTAGTGAAAGAAACTGTGGGTGGGAAAAAGAGGAGTGGAAACAGGGGCAAGGAGCAAAGGAAAAGCTATTCTTCTCCTAGGCCTACTTCTTGCTTTCTGAGCCCAAATATGCCTCAACCCACAAAGATCTCTCTGTCCCCATCTGCTTCCTCTTTTTTTCTTTGTCCCACTGCAATCCGAGTCCTCATTTTGTTGTGGATTAAATGTTTCTGTCCCTCCTGAATTCAGATGTTGAAGCTGTAGTCTCAGCGCAGTGGTACCGGGACATGATCCTCTAAGAAACAGGAGTTAGATGAGATGGTGAGAGTAGCACCCTTGTAAGAAAAGACACCAGAGACCTCACATGCTCTTTTTCTCTGTGCCATGTGAGGACACGGGAAGAAGGCGGCCATCTGCAAGCCCAGAAGAAAGCCTTGCCAGAACCATGCTGGCGCTCAGTCTCAGACTGAGAACTTCCAGCTTCCGGAACTGTGAGGAGTACGTGTCTGTTTTTCAAGCCACCTCAGTGTGGTATTTTTTATGGGAGCCTGAGCAGACTGAGAAACCTGTACTCCTTTTTTCCTTTTAACACTGTCTGACTTCAGAGTCTGAGGAAAGGGAGCTGCTTTCCTTCCCAGGAGCCCACCTCACGGGTGTTGGGAGAACGTAGGCCGAAGACTCACTTCCCAAACCGTGCATCCTCCACCTCTATTTTCTTTAGGGTGTCGGGAGCCAGCTAAGAGTGGCTCTTAAAAAACAAAAGCAGAAATGGCAACAAGAGGATTCCCTAGCCCCCTGCCACCCTGTTGGACCTTCCACCGGGGTGGTGCCTCTGTTTTCACACTTCTCTCCTCTGCCTTCTCAGTTTCCCACTGTGTCTCCATACCTGTTGGCTTTCCGAGTGCTGCCACCTGCCAGTTCCTGGTACATGATTTCCTTAGCAGCTGGCACAGGATTTTTTTGTTGCCAACTAGAAGCTCAGCTACTAAAAAAATAAAACTTGGCCCATCTTGAGTATCATATGTTTCTATCGGGACTTGGATCTGAATTCTGGCACAGCTCACATGACCACTTTGGGCATCTTCCTCAGGACTGAGAACCCAGTGTTCCTCTAAGCCTTGACCACATTTTCACTCACTTATTCCAAATGCAGTTTCCAGCTTTGGAAAACCTCGAACGCTTGTCATTAGTTGAAGGCTAGTTTACCAATGTTCTGTTTGATCTGGTTAATTTGTTTTAGCCCATCAGTGTTTTGTTAGCGCTGACTTGCCTTCTCTGGCTGTTGGTTTCAGTTTTGCATCTTAAAATTCTGAATTCCCAAGAATACATTTCTTGTTTTTTAAGTCGATGAATAGCTAACACACAACACTGAAACAGAGTGTTTGCTACATGACTGCGTGAACCCGAGGTGATATAAGGAAAGAGATCTAAATTGTGGGGAGTTGTTAAATATTAAAATAAATCAAAAGGATACTCTTTAGGGTTAGTGAGATACTCAGAAGAGTCCCAGTTCAACCACCTGTGAACTGTGTCATTTCAGGCAAGTGTTCAATGAGCATTAGCCTCTCTCTATATAAGAGGAGATAATTAAATAAGGTAGGTGCACTTAATATATATAGCATGTAAAAGCATTAGATATACTTGCTGGAATAATGATATGTACAGGTGGAGAGATTGTGAGTGACTGGATATCATGATCTCCCAAAGATCTCTTCAGGTTTGCAAGGCTCTGGGATTGTGTTGGGCCCAGGCCATAGTAATTTTCACACCATTGCCTGAGCTTTCTGAGCTTCTAGGCTTCCCTTCCCCTTAGGAAAGTTCATTGTGTAATGTTTGTAAATATGTGACCATTGTCCTTCATATTTCACATACTAAAAAGAATGTGAAGTATAACCTTAAGGTTTTCCACATCTGTAGACAGAAAAGGACAGCTGGGGTGGTGGTTTAAAATAGCTGCTGTAGGTGGTTCTTTCTACATGATTTTTACAGTTTTCTTTGCTTTTAAGAAGGGTGTTAAAATTAGAAAACATTAATCTTTTGATGCTTTGAGATCTTATTTGCACTAACACTTTGTCATGGATTCATTAGTTTTTTTATTCAGAATAATGCATTCTTCAGTGGCAAAGAAAAAAAAACCCAGATCTAGAATCACTTCAACTCATCTGTGACTCAGAAATAAAGAATAGAGTTCTGGAAATCATTTAAGGATCTTCATATATCTATATATCTACATAGATATATAGATATATATATCATACATATTCATAAGTAATATTATGGAGAGCCTTATTTTTTAAGTCTGTTAATTTCTGTATACTGGTAAAGAAAAATCACATAAAGGAGACTTCTTATATTTGAGTGTTAGCACTATTCTATTAGCGGTATGCACACACTGTACTACTCTATCTTATTATTCAAATGTTTAATTTTCAGTTTCATCACACACTTTTTAGTAGCTACTTTTCATTATTTTATTCTCTTTTCTGGTGGTAGGATTATTTCATACCATGAAAAAATAAATTAATAAAGTCTGAGAGACCTGTTATGGACTAGGAAATGAAGTGGGTGTAGAGACCAGATGACCTGGGAAATGCCTTAGTGGAGTATCAGTCAGCTGAAGGGTATTGATTCTGGAAAGGTTGTCTATAAAGAAGGAAGGATCATAATTTAGTGGATATCATAGCCTCTCCAGATGTGTGCTGCTTCCAAGGTTGTGGAAAGACGTTGGCTGGGGGACAAGGCTGAAAAGAAAAAGTGAGGCTTCAGGACACAAAAAAATGAACCAGTGATTCTAACAAATACTAATAAAATCCCCAGGGCAAGTATGATTGTGTAAAAGTACTTTCCAACTCTGGTACTTATTAGGTGACTATTGTTAATAAATCTCTTACATTTTTGGGGGTGGGGTACTGGGGATTGAACTCAGGACCTTGCCCTTGCAAGGCAGGATGTGGGACCACGGAGCTAAATCCCCAGCAAATCTCTTAAATTGTATTAACAAATAATAGTAAATATTTTAAGTTGTAATAAGCCTCACTTTTCTCATCTGTGGAATAAAGATACTCATGCATTTTTCATAGGATTGTTATAAAGATTGAAAGAAGATAAATTACGTGGTTGTATTTCTTAAGCAGAAAAACCTGTGCATACTGCATATTTTTTATTTTAATGACTGTTTTTTTCACTATTAACTAAACACCAGACTTTATTTGGATTTATCCAGTTTTTCTGTTAATATCCATTTTGTCTTCCGGGATCTAATCTAGACAACCACTTTGCACGTAGTTGCTGTGTCTTTCTTGGTTTGTGACAGCTTTGCAATCCTTTCTTGTTTGTAATGACCTTGAAAATTCCAAACCATACTGACCAAGTATCCTCTACACACTATCCACCCCCAATGAGATTTATCTGTCTTTTTTATTTTTTATTTTTGGTACCAGGGACCGAACTTGAGTCCTTGCGCTTGTGAAGCAGTCAGTGAGGCAGTGGAACCACTGAGCTAAATCCCCAGCATGTGTCTTTCGCAATTAACTGAGATCTCATGAATTACAGAAAAAATGCCACAGAAGTGAAGTGCCTTTCTTGTGGTATCATATCAGAGAGGACATAGTACCATATGCCATTTCCTGATGATGCTAACCTTCCTCACTTGCTAGTTTTCTTCATGCGTGGTTACTATTTATCCTCCTTTTTTTCCCCCTCTAGTTTTTGGAATTGGGTGTCTGGACCACCAGAGGAGGGAGGAGATTTAAACTCCGTCAAGAGCTACATGTAATATATATATATAGATAGTTCTGTGAGGAAGATTTGTGAAGTATTACTTTATCACTGAGACATTATCACATGTATAAAAATGAATATTACATATGAATATATATAATATGTAAATATGGGTGTACAGAATGAATGCCTTAGTTCATTTTCCAAAAGTCTTGTAAGAAATATATCGCTATCAATAAACGTGCAATTGGGGATGTACTAGAAAATGAGAAACTGAGTCTGGTAAGAGGAGCTGTCCCTGCGTTCTGCCCTTTGGATAACGGAGTGCGCTAGAAATGACGCTTTGAAGGGAGCGTCTGACTGTCTTGATAGAAGCAGACCCATCCCTCATCTCTGGGCATGTGTTGTACGTCTTCATTTGTAGAGGAAATAGCCCAGCCCTTATTTCAGTTGAACTGCCGCCACCCTCCCTTGGAGGTGTAGGCGACTTTGATACAAGTTATTTGAAACTAACTCCATCTTTCTGTCATCTCAAATAATAGCCACAGCAAAACCTGCATTTTTATTGTGTAGCCCATCTCAGTTTTACTACCACCATCTTCCTTGGATCTCTCCCTAGAATCATGGGAAACATTTTAGATTTCTCTTTCATTTCCAGTAATAACCCATATTTTCCCACTTGAAAGTTGAATGGCACTGGCCCAGCCCCCCCATTCTTTCTGTCCTCAGAAGAGATATAATAGTCTCACAGGGTGTGCTAGATTTCCATCACTAAGCCAGAACACATGAGAAAATGACACAAAAAAGAAAAGGTTCATTTTGACTCACGGTTTCAGAAATTTCACCCCATATGTTGCATTTGTGCCCTGGATGAGGCAGACATCATGGCATGGAGTCCTTAGAGGAACAAAAATACTCATCAGTGGACAAGTGGGGGGTGGGGGGATGGAGGAAGGGAGGGAGAGAAAGGAAGGGAAGGAGGGAGGGAGAGAGGGAGAGAGAGGGAGAGAATGAAAGAGAGGAAAGAGCTAGAGACCAGAGATACCCTTCCGGCTCACCCCAGCGACCTGGTTCTCCCGGAAGCCCATTCGGAGGGGAGCCTGTCAGCGGCCCTTCTGACGCAGTCACTTACTGAAAGCCCCACCTCCCAGCGCTTGCGTCAGGAACCAGACTCTAACTGCAGCACAAGGTCATTATGAATACGTCCGTCCCCTGCGCTGCATGGTCATGCTCCTTTCAGTTCCAGCCGTTTGGAGCTCTTTTCTGGATTATGACGCCAGTTTCTTGACTCTCATCTCTGCTCCCTTGCACTGCTCACTCTGCTTGTGAGATGATCTTCTGACATCCAGTTTGAATACACTGTTCCCCTGCTGAAAATCCTTCAATAACTTGGATCCCATTCCCGAGGTAGATCTCCTTTGCACAGACAGTAGGTCTTTTCAGAATAGCTCCTCTTGCTCTTCCTGTCTCATTGGCGCTCCCCCTCTGTCCTCGCCTTGGTACCAGTCCCGCCAGCTGTTTTTCCTCACCAGGGCTGTACCATGCTGCCTCTTGTCAGAACGCAGCTTCTCCATTGCCCCCTCCCCAAACCACACCAGCTCACTCCGCCCACGCGCCCATCTGCTTCATCAACATGTGTTTCTTCCTTGGAATAGAACTTCAGGGAAGTCCTGCCTGACCTTTACACTCTACCTCTGTTGTTTGGTGCACTGCTGCCAGGCTCTGTCTGTCTCTACATTTGCCCTGGAAGCTGTAAGACTTTTTTTCATTCTATATGCCTTGACTGTCCTTGTCAGATATTCTGTTTTATTTCGTGAGACAGAGTCTTTCTGTGTAGTCCAGGCTGGCCTCAAAATTGCAGTGGTCCTCCTGCCTCATCCTGTCAAATGCTGGCATAGGTGTGCACCACCATGCCCAGCCTAGTGCCTGGCAGATGTTACAAAAATATTTAATGACACTTGTTTACACATGATAAGGCACACTTTTTCCAGGATCACTGAGATAAGTATAGGGACCGCTCCAGTGAGGTCTTGCAGTGGAGAAGAGAGAGACTGGGCTGGACTCCAAATGCAGTAAGGGAATATGGGAATTTATACCCAAGGATCAGGCACAGTAGGTGGGGGTGTACTAAAAGGGGATATCGGGGATCAGGGGAATTCTGAGTAAACCAACCTGACCAGGCTTCTTCGTGAAAGCAGCCAGGGGAATTACACATTATTTCGCTTCTGGTAGAGAATGGGGAACCTCATCAGGTATTAACAATGATGGCATATTGAGCATGAAGCTTTTGCTAAACTGATTTGGTTGTGCTCCTAAACAGTATTTTACAAGGACATTCACGGGAAGTACATGGGCGGGCCTAGGTGAAGGTTCTGACGCCGGATTAAAGTTTGATCAAGGAAATAATCTTCGTCACAAGGGGTGTAGGTTCAAAATGTTAACTGCTGCTGGATAGATCAGATCATGACTGCATTGACCTAACTGAAAATTTTACCAGTCCTGTGACAGTGGTGGTCCCTCTTTCCCTGTTGGAGAGGGCAAGAAGAGATTAAGGCTAATATCCGGTAGAGTTTCATAGAAAATGATTTTCCTTACTCAAGAAGGGACACTGCTGAAAGTATTTGGAGCCTCCAGTTGTAAAATCACTGAAGAAATCATGACTGTTATCTTGTGCCTTCTCCACATAAGTTACGCACTGTGCACCCTCATTGTTCTTAAGATTTTGACTTAGGTCTGGGTAGCACTTGAGAAATCACCCAGTCCAGTGTCTTAGTTTATGGGCGAAGAAGTGGAAGCCCAGAAAAGTCAGCTTTCCCAGCACTCCGAAGCCAGCGAGTAGAAATGAGACCGGGAACTTGGTCTTCCGGTCTTAGATTCTATAACACAATTCTTTTCCTCCCAAGTGCCATTTGCAGAAATCTGGGCTTCAGTCATTCCTGGCTTTTCCTCCTACAACTTTCTTCAATTATTTCAGAATACAAATTTCTTATCTTCAAGAATCTGTTATAGATTCTGATGTTAAAGTTTGTACTATTTTCTACCTTGTATGTTGTGCTTACTCCAGGGAACTCAAAGGATAGCATTTTAAAACATAAAATACAACAAAAATGAATAAAATTGAGTAAGATTTTAAATTTGGTTTCTTTCCTAATTTGGAAAGTGTTCACCATATGTAAAATCTTTGTTCTCAGAGGTATTAAAATCGCAGTTCAGAATCCTTGCCTGCAAGTCAGTTTGTATTCTTTGCCTATTTGTGAGTGATTTGGTGATTTGGTGCTTGTGAGCTGAGATACTCATTCTTTTACAACTTACTGAAGAAACTAGTCAGATATGCAAGAGTCTCATCCATTTTATAAAGCCCACCTGTATTGAAATACACCACAAATAAGTCTCCTTTTGGTTATTCTTCCTTAGCCCAAGAAACTTAGATGTTTGAGCACATGGGTTGATTAACGTATTATTAAAATATTAACTAACGTGGCAGTATATTAGTTAATATCACATTACAAAATCATGGAGAGAAAAATTTTATGTGACTTGCACATGTCATGAAACCAAGCTTATTTTCCTAACACTGATTTCATAAGGTACTTATAAATATATCAGATATGTATTCTTAAGTTCAGTTAGGATGGCCAACACCTGATTTGCATTTAAATATATATTCTATTTATTCCTATGTGAAAAAACATTTTCATAACCAAGTAATAAGAGAATAGCAATAGTTATTGCACTGTGTATCATTATCTTCAAAGTAGTTACGCAGTACAAGACAGAAACCAAAAAGATTCTTACAAAAAAGAAACTTTTCTTTCTCATTGCAGTAATTTCACTGTCTGAGGTGGTGGAATGGCAAGTAAAGTGCAGGTTACTTTAACTGATAAGAAAATTATTTTATTTCTTGTTGATGTTCGTGGCAGAATGTTCTTTTTCTTTTGTTTATGTCCCTATACACTGACATGATGGAAATGGGCACAGTCAGTGTTTGTCCTTTCCTTGCTTGCTCTTCCTCCTCTGATATGAGTCAGCCCTACCATGTTCTTAGTTGGTTTAAGCTACCAGTTTCTTCCCTTCAAGCTAAATATTAGTCTCATAGTTTCATTAAAAAGTGATTATTAGCTGGGTGTGGTGGCACATGCCTATAATCCTAGCACTCGGGAGGCTGAGGCAGGAGGATCTCTGTGAGTTTGAGACCAGCCTGGGCTACATAGTGAGTTCCAGGTCAGTCTCAACTACAGAGTGAGACCCTGTCTCAAAAACACACACACACACACACACACACACACACACACACAAAAGTGATCATTGAATTCTTGTTCTACCTCCCAGACTAATCCTTCAATCTCATTTTTAGAACCTCTCATCTGCCTGTGAATCCTTTGATAATCAATATTCCCTTACTTTAAAAAAGCAATAAGATGACTTGCTCTGTGTGTCATAGGATGCCGATCACTTGTGGACAAAGTTTACTGATGTATATAAAACCTTCACGAAACTCCCTTGGATCTGTTTTATCATAATTGGGTGACAAAGTTTTCAGTGTCAGGAGTGAATGGTTCTCACAATGGCAGTAATTTGTAGAACCTGTGTTCAGCCAAAGGAGATTTCTATTTTTATTTTTCTGTATCTATTTATAACAAACGTCAATGTTAACAGTTTTTCCTGCCACCACATAGAGATCTAACTGTGACCCACAGACCTCTATGAAAAGCTGTCAGGATTATGTGAAGCTCTTGAAATTGAAAGCGAAATTTTATGTGTGGAAGTATTTTTAGAGGAGAATGATCAAAGCCTCCATCAAACACTACGAGCCATTTAAGAGGCACTGACACTTGAGGTTCATCCACACAAACGTCTTACATATACATAGAATAACTGCAGAACACCAGCCCTGCACTGACATACTTATTTAGAAATTGTTGCCTTGTTCAGTCCATCTGTCCCCAAAAGAAGCTATCTATATTCTTCTATTCCCAGTTTTTAATATTTTTTTACTTCTATGTTCTATTTTAGCAGTAATTTGTTAAGATGTTTTTATGTGTAAGTATCACTTAGTGTTATATGTACCAAATCATCAAAAGAAACCCAGCTTGGATTGTCTTTTTAATTTAATTTTATTTTTTTGAAACAGGGTCTCACTATGTAGTTCAGGCTGGCCTTGAACTAATTTCTGTAGCCCAGGCTAGCCTTGAAATCATGGCAACCCTCCTGCCTCAGCCTTCCGAGTGCTGGGATTACAGACGTGTGCCACCACGCCCAGCTGGATTGTCTTAACTAATGAGGTAGAATTACTGACCAACATAACTGAAGTTCAGATGTTGTTCAGGTTTTGCTTGTCGTTTGTTGTAGACTACAGTTCCATTTCTCTGTGTTTCCTTCAACTTTATTCCAAGTGTGTGAGCCTTGTCTTCATAATAGCTTCCTTCATGATAGCAAAATACTGCTGTTCGAGTTGCTGATTGGCAGCCAGTCATCATCATCCACGACACTAGGGATTTTAACTTTCGTCTCTTAATTAATAAACCGGAAACCCAGCAGTCTGGCTAGGAAGATGGCTGTGCACCACGTGATATTGCACTGCAACCAATCACAGATACAAAGGGAGTGGGAGAAGAGTGTTTGATCTGCTCCCGGCAGAGTCTACTTTTAGGGCTTCAGGAATCCCAATTGTGTGTGTGAGTAGAAAAGATCCTGAGCAGCAACTACTACTATTTATTATATTCCTTAGATTAAATAGGAAATCAGGCCATAGATGGATAGATAGATAGATAGATAGATACATAGATAGATAGGCACACATAGAGAAAGATTATGATATATCTTAGGGGATATATATACACCACTAGTGTTTATCTTAGGACATATATGTATATGTGCATATTCATTCATTTTTAAATTCACTTATAAATATTTTATATATTAAGCATGTAAATATATTTATTATTATAAAATTATCAATACATTTATAAATCATCAGCAAAATAAAATATCAACACATTTATACATTATTATTCATGAATTATTATAAATATTTTATATATTAAGCATGTAAATATATTTATTATTATAAAATTATCAATACATTTATAAATCATCAGCAAAATAAAATATCAACACATTTATACATTATTATTCATGAATTATTATAAATATTTTATATTTATAAGCAAAGGAATATGTATATATATATTTT